CCGGCTCGGCAAAGCCACAGCCCCCCGGAGCAGGGCCACGGTACGTCCCGCGCCCCGGGGCAGCCTCCGCCGCGTGCGGGGCTGCGTGCGTGTGCGCGGGGAGTCTCGTCTTCCCCGTGGCCGGCACCGGGTTTGTCAGCCGGCGCTGAGCCGTTATCCCCGCCGTCCTCCAAACGACTTCTCCAGCCCCGCCAAACTGCGCGTTCTTCATGTGCCCGTTACACCCGCGTCTGGTCAGGGTGGCTGATTTTTTGAGCCAGATAGGAGATTTTAAATGGCAGGTGTGAGTAACCAGGGGCAGAGAAAATTGACGCGTGGCACAGTAGTTTTTCTTGGGCTCTTGAGGTGGGGTAACTGATATTATCACAATGTGCTGCCATCACCTGTGACAGTACTATTTGCAGTTGATAGCGCAGCTGTTTGATTTGCACTCTGCCCGGGTGTGATTTAAAACAAGGTACATGTGACTTTACACTGCTTGAATTTGAAACTGACATTTGCGATGTTGGTGTCGAGCTTGTGAATGCTGCAAGTCTTTAAGTGGGAGATATTAACTGAATGTTAAAAAAGTAAATCTTTGCTTATTAACAAAGGCGGTAGTTTTTTCGAGTGTTGAAAAAAGGTTGAAAAATTTTAAAAGAAATCAGAAAGAAGGTTTAACATTTCTTATGGTTCAGTAGCACTACAATTGTGATTTCTTTCTTGAATGGTAGAGCTTCTGATTCACTGAGGTTAATCTGAGAAGTCTGATCTGCAGGCAGAGAGTATTTCTTAGATTGTTTTTTCCTCTCTCCATGGGGTAAGACTACACAGAGGTGATGAAAGATGACCGTGCCAAGACCAAGTTCTGGTCTGTCAGTTACACAATTAAATATGAGAAGTGTTGTGACCGGAGGTTAAGGATGTTTTGTAGCTATTACAATGCACCTTACAAGTGGAAAGGATGATGAAACACTTGGAAAAGAAATTGGCTTAAACACAGCTAAGCCGTTTCCTTCCTTTCTATTCTGGACTTCATATTAACAACAGACTTCATGCATGTGCTGTGAAGCGTTCTTGGCCGTGGAGTTCTACAGGGACAGCTTATTAGTCCACAGCCTAGGTCCCTTTATGTTTTACTTCAGGTCCTTTGCTTTCTTTATCTTGTCACTTTCCTAAATGTCTGTCTTCTAGCAAAAATGAAGAAAAACATTTGCATTTTGGTTTAGATGGATGGATAATATATGTGTGTTAGGTAAGCACTTTGCGGGTATTGTATTATAAAGGTAATTTCACAGAGTCAATTCTTGATGTTTTTAGCCTGGGCTGATGCTGACATTCTGGTTCAAAGTATTGCTTATGGTGTTAGGGTTTTGGTTCGTTCCAGAACCTTCTAGGTGTTTGGGTTTTTTTTTTCCTCCCTAATACTATTTGCTTGCTTCTAAAAAAGTAAAAGTTGGTTACAGAGCTCCCTAACTGGTATTTCTATTTCTAGAGTCATATGTTACGTGGTTCAAATTGTACCCAGCTGAGTATCAATGGAGGACTGAAATCCTTTGGCCTTCAGGCGGCTTCTAGGCCATATATCACTGTGATGGTCCCAGAAGTTTAATCTGCTATTTATAGTTAAAAATAGCAGTATTGGTTCCTGGGCAGAACTGTGCACAGTTATCATGATGTGCCATTCACTGGAACTTGTAGTTGTGTCCATTTGGATCTCAAAAGGTGGGAGTAGTAAATAGTATGTAACAGTCAGGAAATTCACTAGACAAAAAGGCTTTGCCTTCGGAGACACTTCTTTCCTGTGATGGTTGACTCGGACCTTAGTCCTGAATTGCAGGTTGTGAAAGTAGGACTGGTGTTTGGTTTGACTTTACCTGTTGAGCTTCTATTCTTCTGTAGTAAAAGAAGCTTCTCCTTCCTAGCAGCAGCAGAGGGGGGTATTTAAAATTAACCTTTTAATTGTAAAATAGATATGTATTCTATAGCAGTAATTCAAAGGCATCTAGGTTTTGCTTGGATGAAAGCTTAGTAATCAGGTTGGAGAAAACATGTAATTGTGTGGTGCTGATCAGGATAAGGTATCTGTTTTTAAGGTTACAGCACTTTGAACAGGAACTTTGCACTGAAAAATACTTCTCCTTACAGGCAGTTCCAAGGCTGCGTCTTTGCACTGGACAGGTGAGCGAGCTGTCAGTGTCCTCTTGCTGGGTCTCCTTCCTGCAGCCTACCTGTATCCTGGACCAGCCATGGACTATTCACTGGCTGCAGCCCTCACTCTCCATGGCCACTGGTAAGCACAATAGGTCCCTCAGAATTAAGAGTAAAGTCTGGTAGTCAGGATGGCTCCAGCCCTAGGTCTTAAATCTGTATACGGCAGTAAGTCTACTGACTTATTTCCTGATCTAGTATGAAACACCTGGAAAGAGATGCAAGCAAAGTCCTTACTCTCCAAGTTCTATGACAGTCGTGATCTTTGACAAGACTGGTTGTACTTTGGTCTTCCTTTGTCACACTGTTCCCTCAGTCAGAAGGCAGGATACATATTGCTACTAAGGAATCCATAAACATTCTCTAGTGTTCTTCTACACAGTACCTTACCTTAGGAGGACTTCCTTGCCACTGGCTGTGTAGAATTTTGGATGTTTTTATCTGGTAGAGGAATCAACGTTGTATGAACAGCGGGAACAGAAACAGGACAGATCTGTATAAAACAAGTTGTTCTTCTAAGGTTCTGTGCTGTGGGCTGGCTTTGTACATCTCAATGGTGATGAGATTCTGCGTAACAGAGTTCATAGCAAATATTCCACTGAAGAAGCTGAGACTTTGACCATTATTTTCTTGATTCCTGTGAAATGGACGCTTGCTCATGTTCTTCTTAAGTGTGCTTCTGCTGTGATCTTTAATGTGAGTAGGCTAGGTGAGTCTAGTTAGGAGTGGATCCAGCTGCATGGTTGGCCTAACTGGCAGCGTTTACATTCTTGAGGTGATACTGGTCTGTAGTTCCTTGTTACGGTGATAAAGCAGATAAGCAACTTCATGGTACTTTGGGATGCCAGGTTTTCTTAAGTCTCAGTTTTGCCCTTACGAAGTTGTACTAGGGATTCTTGCACTTCCCTCACTGTGACTGGGAGCTTCTTGCCGAAGCCCTCAAATCTAGTACAGAATTAATCTGAAACGTGGCTAACCTTGAATATACTTGGCAGAGCTCTTTCAAATATAAAATACATAAAGCTAAGCTTGCCTGCCTTTGGAGCTTTTCTTCACTTGTTTGGTGTGCGCGTGTTGGTGTCATACTGGGTGTGACCACGTGGGGAAATTCCAGGCATTGGAACAGGTTGTTGCAGGTTGATGTGTTGAAATGGGCTCTCTGGATGACATTTTGTGTCATCACTAAAGAATCAATCAACGTTTGATTCTTTAGTGAATATCTCTTGTTGACAAAAGTGTCAGGATTGTTCATACTAGAAATCCCTTTTCCATAAACAGCATGGGGACTTCCCCCGTGAGAAAAATGTCTTGCTGATTGTGTGCAGCTCTGCTGGCAACTTTCATCAGAGTGAATTCCTCCCCCACTTGTGTGGGTTTTTTGTTCTCTTTTTAAGCTGGAAAATTTCTCCCGTATTAAACTCTTATCTTGCAAAACATTGTCTTAAAAACCTAAAGGTGTTCCTATGTAGGAAAATTCTCGTCTTGTACTTTCATAGGTATTCAGTGCTAGAATATTAAAAGAAAAAAGATTGTTTGCTTGCCATAAACGTTACTTTGATTGCCATAACAGATCAGATAATCGCTCTTGTAGCGGATGAGAAACTGCAGGGGAGTACTGCATGTATTTTTGAGGGGTTTTCTTTCACCTTTGCTCTGTTTTTCCTTAGGAAATCTTGTCCTAAAATATGTTGGAAATAGCGCTTCAGATATTTAGCTAGTTATCAGTCCAAACACTAACCTATCAATAGACTTACTCAAGATACCTGAAGCCATGTTTATCTTGTACCGTTTTTTGCTGGCGTGGAATAAAGATTTCTCTGCCCAGTGAAGCTGCTGTATTGTGACCTAGATTGTGTGTCTACCACACATCAGCTATTTCTCACTAATTCCCTTCCTTGTTCTCAGGGCCACTAGTCTTTTCCCATGAGGACTTTGTCTGAATTAATTAGTGTGCTGTAAAGTCACACACCAGTTTTTCTGAGAAGTCTCAGCATGGCTCAGTCTTACTGTGCCATGCAAAGAAAAGATCTTACGAAAATCCCGTATCAGCACTACAGTTGAAGGGCAGCCTGTGAATCCCAAGTTGAGTATGCCTTATTTATCTGCAGTTTGGAAGGCTCAAGGTGTGGGTAAGTGCTGCTTACGCTCCTGACCTTACTCCACTGTCCAGTTGTAAAAAATAGCTGTAATAGTTTAAGAGTAGTTGCCTTTCAGACTGCTTCCACTTTCAGCTTCTCTTCTGTGTATCCAGGGGTTCCTTGCACCCCTTTTCTCACTTTTTACATCTTTATGGTATTAGACCCCCATCTAAGTGAAACTGAGTTCAGCATTCACTTGCAGTGGCATCTGCTGCAGGACTTTGAACCTTGCTAGGTCAATAGCGTGTCTTAATTTGTAGGACACAGGTCCTTCAGCTTCAGGCTAGACCAAGGCAAAATCCTAGGAAGAAAATTGTTGCATTAAATACGGTTCTCTTTTTTACCAAGTTGACATCTGTCATTGCAGAAAGCAAATATAGTTGTACTTTTGGGAAGAGAACTACCACATTAGTTTATTAGCATCCTCTGTCTTCCTGTTGCTGGACAGTTTAAATCTGGACAAGAGCTCACTTCCAGTCTGACAGATGTAGAAAAAAGACAAGAGTATGCTAATTTTTTGGTTGCCACTGTTTTCTAATCTAAATACACATCCTGGAGTCTTCCATGCATTTGTGACAATGGCTGGTCCCAGAGCCACACCTTGTTGTTCAAGCAAGGATTATTTCCTTTGTTACTTTTCTTCAGTCCTTGGAAATCAGATAAACTGCCTGCTGTTTCTTGGAGGCAGATTCTATTGTTTGGAAGAGCTGTGCTCAACACCTTGTTTCCTCAGTACCATTAAGAAAACTCTGAGCCAATATGTGTATTTTTTTAATAGAATATGTGGAATGTTGTTTTGTTTTGTTTTAAATAGATGCATCTTCTTTTGGAGTGGGAACTGGGCATTTTTTAGGAAAGGTTGATGATAGCGGGTGAAAAAAATGGTGTGTTTGAGCCATCTTAGTAGAATGCTTACATAAACTGGGTGGATTTCCGTGAGGAATGCTTCTTTCCTGATTTCAGCTTTCTTCTCCCTCTTATTCTCTAGGGGTCTTGGACAGGTTATAACTGACTATGTCCATGGAGATATACCCATTAAGCTGGCCAATACAGGTCTGTACGTACTGTCGGCCGTTACCTTCACCGGCCTCTGCTACTTCAACTATTATGATGTTGGGATCTGCAAGGCTGTTGCCATGCTGTGGAGCCTCTAAGATGCGACCGAGTCCCTGACAAACATGATTGTTCACTGCTGCCTCTGCTTCATCATATTTTTACCAACATGCTTAATGCAAAACAAATGAATAACCAAGGGCCCATAGTATGTCCATACTGCAGCGAGTTCAGAGCTAGTCTTTTAGAAATAAATATCCAACAGCAGTAAAAATGTTAGAAAAGAAAAAGTAGATTTAAAGTGGATAATGTCCAGGTGAGAGTGAATTGATTTAAGCTGCACTGTTAATTGGGAGGAATTAATTACATCAATGACAGACTTACATAGCTGAAGGTAACTTTTGTTGTAATGGCAGCTTTAATGAGTGTTTTTCTAAAATAACTGTTGTTTGGTTTCCTATTTTGTAAAACAAACTTGACTTGTGGAAAATGGAACTGTTATTTCTGACATCACAACTGAACTGTATGTAAGGCGCACCCTGTAACTCTTTGGACCCTGAGAGTTGATGTAGAAAAGGGAGTACTTTTTTTCTTAATCCATACAATAAAGAATTTACAGAAACCATGTGTGTGCACGCTTCTGAATGATTTTTACTACTTTTGGGTTACTTAAAATGTTTTCTCTGCAGATAGGTGGTTTTTTTTCCTAAAATCAAGTTCAAATACTAATTCTTACTGTTATGTTACTGTTCATACTGTTACTCTGCATTACTTCATTTAGATGTTATAAAACAAAAAATATTTTTATGAATATGTATTGTCCTTAATACTTAAAGAGGTGACTTAGACTTGATTTAATACAAGAGTAATGTCCATTAGAAAATACAGCAATAATTGACTTAGAAGAAAAAAACTTTTGCAGATTAATTTTAGGAGCCATAAATAGCGTACGGCTTTCATAGTTTCCCTGGAACCTGTTATGTTCATCTGCGACATTTTTGGGGTTTGTTTTCTAAATAAACACTGGTACACATTTTCCTGCGTGACTGAAAAGACAACAAACATATCCTTTCTGTCATAGCTTGACATGAGACTGAGGCAGCGTTCTTTTCTATGTCTTTAGGTTTTAGACCATCCTTTATCTTTTCTGACTTTCATAGTAGTAAGGGGTGGTTAACTGTTTCTGCATTCTAATGGTACTTCTGTGGTACTATTAATAGTAAGAGGAAGAGAATTGTGTGTTACCATCAGTCTGATTATGCACTAAGCAGAATGAATAAATTGCTGTTTGAATTCTACAAGACTTTCTGATTTAATTTTTTTTTAAATCTGGATTGGAATTTTTATTTATTTATTTACTTACTTACTTACTTACTTACTTACTTACTTACTTACTTACTTACTTACTTACTTACTTACTTACTTACTTACTTACTTACTTACTTACTTACTTACTTACTTACTTACTTACTTACTTACTTACTTACTTACTTATTCATGTAACCATAGGAAATACCATGTAGCTGGCCGCTTTTGATTTGCTAATCTTCTCAGAATTGAGATGGTTGCTTCTGTCTGATGTGGTCTGATTTAGATATCAATGTAACGTGTTACTTTGTCTTAGTGAGGAAGATGCATGTGTATGAGTCATTGGTAAGTACCTCTGTACAATCTGAGCATGTATCATAGAAAGTGTGACATTTCCTCTTTTGAGACCAAACACAAGATGCATCTGTATGTGGTATTTGTTTAAGGTATCTTGTGTGAGAAATGAGTTATGTAAGAGCTCTGTGAATGTAGTAGTCTGGACCTACGACGTTAGGGGCTAGCAACTCTGAGACCAGTTCCTCGTGTTTTTGAGGCAAGAATTAAAGGTAATGACCACAGCTTTCTCTATGAATCGCATGTGTTCCTCAGTCCTGTTGAAATTGAATCCCTGTAATTAACTTTTGCTCTTAATTACTGTGATGGCTGTAACCATTTGGTCTAATCCCATTTTTGAACATTCATCAGGCATATAAGACTGGGACTCGGTCCTACTGGGTATCCGGATGTGTTAAATACATTCTTGAGTTTAAGCCCCTCCAGTGAATTCTTCCTAAGCAATAGTGCACTCAGCGGTGGCTGTACCTGATTCTAAATGGGTTTCTTACTGCCTCTAGGTGCGCCTGTAGCAGCTAGATAGGTGAAATGGCAGGGGCAGCATTAACATGAAAAGCTGAGGCAGTCAGGGTTATCACAGCAGTTTCATGTCTCTGTGCTTTTTTAAAGCCCCTGAAATTATAGTTTTGGTTTGGTTTTTACCAAAACAAGTTTTGAGACTTGTCTTATCTCTTCTGCAAGTTTGAGGATTTTCCTCCATTTCATGACAGATAGAGGCCTTTCTGTTTTCTCTGATTACTTTTGCCTGTATGGGGTATGACAATTGTACCAGCTCTTCTGCATGGCAAGTTGAAGACCCAGGACCCCAGCTGCAACCAATGTTCAGGTTACCACTACCTGGAGTTGGAACAGAAGAGGAAGACCAACACTTATATTATATGTAGAAGAAAAGAATAATATATGCCATATCAATTTCCTCAATATTAAATATTCAGAATGCATTACATTAATTTTGGTTTTGGTGAAATCCAGTGCTTGCTCAGCTCCGAATGCGAAATGGAGTTCACAGCTTGACCCCAATGTATGCTGCATTGTCACATACAAAGAATAAGATAGGGTCCTTATGGGAGCCAGCCATATCTACATTTGTTCCCAATTGTTAGAAGGACAAATGTCTGTTTCATTTCATCACTAACCTACAATTTACTGTTAACTTTTAAAAACCTTTACAGAAAAGCGTAATTCTTTTTTTTTCTTGGGCTCTCTGAGGACAAACAGCTTTATTAGAACTTCAGTTGTGCAGGTAAATTAGCAGTTTTTGAAGTAAAGATTTCCAGTAAGTTAAAAATTGTCTGTTGTTTCTATTTCAGTTGAAGGTGAGTGTCACTGTGTAACTGAGACTGATGAAGACACTCAAGAAATAATCTTGATGCAAAAAAGTAATCTCTAAGTGTTTATCGGCCAGGTGTGTGGTCTGCTTGTGAAATCTGTTATTTTAAGCAGTTTTCTCTCCCTCCCCAAAATAGGTCTACTTCATCTACGGGACACCTAATTCAAAAGCTGTTTGATCAGCAGGCAGTAAAGATTTTAGGGATCAAACTATACAGGACTATATAGGCACGCACATTCTTGTTTCTTTATTGTGTAATTCTCTTTCCTTCTATTGGACTGGAAAACATTCTTCTGCTTCTTTTTGCCAAGAATTTGAATTTATTTTCCTTTGTAAGATGCTCATTTTTGTACTGACTCACAGTAGCTAAAAACATAAAAGTGGCTAGCCTTGGATGAAGAAGAAGTAAGATCTCTTTCATAAAAAGCCAAAATGTATTTTAAGACTGTTGAAGTATGTCATAGATTGTGACTTTCATTCTGACTGAAGTTAGAAACTTATCTTCATGGTTTCATCCACTTCATCTTCCCTTGACAGTTTCTTTAGAATTAATTTTCTTAAGCGACCTTCTTCCTCAAAGGCCAAGAACATTCCTTGTTCTAGTGAGTATTCAAACTTAAATGCTCTGGAGCTACAAGATGTAAATGTCTTTTTGAAAAAGATTACGTTACTGTCACCAGGAATTTCTTTGGGAACTTCTCCTTCCTGAGGAAGAAAAAGGGAATGGGTTAGGCCCAGCACAAGACCTGCGCAGTTTTGTTTCAGCTCACACATGTTTGAATTCTTAATTTTGCCTACTACTTATATATACATAAGGTATGGAAAGCAGATACTTACCCTAAATCGAACTATCATTTTTCCACATTCTTTCTCACAACACATGTAATAACTTTTATCTTCTACCTGGACGCTGAATGCAACAGGCATCCCTGCTGAAGGTGTGGTAGTCTTGTAATAGTGAATGTTGAAGTGCATTCCGTTGCCTAAATATAAATTATTATTAATAGTCTGCTCAGGAGAGAGCTGCAACAACTTAACCGTATCACGTCTTACCATTCCAGTGGCAACTGCTGTCTTCCCAGGATACTTTTCCTGACAGGAGAGCCAGGAGTCGAATTTTTATGACTGCTGGTAGCACATATGTGACTTTCTGCAATCATTCAATAACCAAGATTTTGAATTTCCAAGAAAGCATGTGAAGTTACCAGTTAGTATGGGTAGGATGTTGAAATCCTTTTACGTGCATGCATAAAGTGAGAATTGGATTTGTAAGTAGTCATTTGTAAATCAGATTATATCTGTATATATGTGATCTGTAAATAAATATGTTCAACAAATATAGTTCTGAATGAATTGCTGAGCCCCCCCCAAAATCAAAGCCAAAACCATAAGTTCATTGTTAACTAATGCTGTTAGAAGAAAATAAGAGCTTTTAGTGTTAAATACATTGTTTAAACCTAAAAATGTTTTTTTGTAATCCAACACACACCAAAAAAAAGGTATTAAGAACTTAGTTTGTGATCAGAGCTAACCAAAAATCTTAGCAGCCCTTTTCTGAATGGGACATCCTGCAGGCCTCAATCTAATCCAGGAATCTAATCTGTTACCAATGCACAAGACAGAGGATTTCAGCTCTCTTAGCTTACTTAGCTTTATTCTTACAAATGAATTTTAAGTCTTTACTCTCAGTCTCATCATTTAAAGTCAGTGATTACAAAGAACAAAAGCACATCTAGAATAAAGAAACGGTGTAATGGATATAGTATGTATTTGAAAAATGGTGTACCAGATTTCATCTCCTGATCTGTCACATCTTCAAACGCTGCCATGTTTAAATCTGGTCGAACCACAAGCAACTGGCTATTTACATTTCGAAGGACTCGGTGGAGAATTTTTTCCTTACAAAAGGCATCGCATTCCAGCCCTGTAGAAGTAGTGAGCAAAGAGGGTCAAATATTTTAGTTGTCACCTCCTCAGATCTTAACGTTTGCTACAGGCTTCATCTTGTCATTAAGGATACCAGGTGAAATAAGTTCTTGGAATGGCAATCTCAAACAAAATGGAGGCCGTGTCATTCTTTCCACCTCTGGCTTGTAGCAACCCAGGTAAGACAGAAGGATTTCCCAGAATATAGCAGTCTATATATAAGCAAGAGAAGCTACTGTATCTGTTAATGAGAGTTCAGGAGCAACAGTTCTCCCTTTTGTCCAACAATTAGAATTGCATTAAAAGGTCCTTCTGTCAGGGAAGCCACTACCCTGTACCTTAGGAGGAAAGAAAGCAACATCAACTTCAGAAGGTGAGGTGTAGCTCTCTTTTTCACAGTAGCCATTATCAGTTTGAAAACTTGTTCTCTAAGGCACACAAAGCATTTGTGGGTTAGTAAGCGTGAGCAGGTTAGTTCAGGTTAAATTGATAATGAAGTTAATAAATGATGAGCTTTCAGCTTACCATCATCGTCTTGGTTCCAAGTGAGCAATGAAAAAAAGGAAAGAAAAAACAACATTAAGCTCTGCCCGCACAAAAGAAACCACCTTCTACCCAGTTTTGTTCTGCAAGATTGGAAGTCGGCCAGCCAGCCACCTACACGTTTCCAGTTGTACTCCCCACAGCATCACTAACTCACCAAGCTGAGCTGTTCTAACTACAGAGTGTGTTTTGTGAGCTTAACAAACTCAACAGAATGATGAAACCACCAGTCATTTGAGAACTGGAGTTACCACCAAACCAAGAGGCATGCAAAATGTTTTAGGGTTACTTAAGGGTGAGCAGCTCACGTCAGTTTAAGCCTATAACCAAGAAATAAACGGCATGCAAATTTTTCTTTTCATTAGCACCTTTATTTTAGGTGAGCAAAAGGACAAGAAAGAGTCATTACAAATTGCTTCTAAAGAAGAGACTGTTTTCTAACTAACTTTATCCTATAAGATTGGAAGTTATCCACTTATTCCAAAGCCCACCCCACAGTATTCCAACTTTTCTGAGTGTCCTTTACAGGAATGTATTGTATGCAGCAACAAATATTCCACTGACTCAGATACTTGGCTAACAGTACTTCAAACTGAAGCTTATGGGAAAATTAGGTGAAATCAGACTGATAAAGGAATTGTTTTTAATCAGTATTCAAACAGAAAAGGTTATTAAATGCTTAAGGTGTTCAGCAACAATATGGTACTGACCTGTTAACATACTGGGACAGCTGTCTCAAACTCAGATTCTTTTTGCAGTGAACAGCCTGGCTCCATAATCTAAGAACTATCATTCTTCTAAGTGGGTGGGGATTGTAACTGCTTTGAGGATTGCTCAAGTA